GTTTAATGAGCAGAAGTTTGTTCTTGTTCACAAGGCACCGCCCCTCTCGCCAGTCCAGGGTTTATAGAAAAGATAAAACAATTGTTTCATGATGAGAAAATATATTTGTACAGCAGTCGCTGCTTTACTATGTAAATTCTTGAGCAAAACGCCCGGGGAAATTGCTCGGTCTTGATTTATGAATAAATATGCTCATATTTTTGTTGAACATTTTAATGCTTTCTATGTTCTTTACTAAAGGCTCAAAGCGTCTGAGTATTTATGAGAGGCACTGGAGTGATAAAAAAAAAAAAGAATTTTAAAATTACGTTTATTCGGAAGAAAAAGCCGGTTGGCTTTGCTAATTTACGTATCGTTTTCATGCTAGTGTTGAGAATTTTTGAGAGCAATGAGTCTGTTGTCAAATGCGTGGTAATGTCATATGTTTCCCACAGAAAGAAACCTTCGTTTAAATATCGATTCCGTGAGGATCGAGCTGCTCTGGTGACTGCATAAAGATAAAAATTTGAAATTCCCGCGCCGAAATTCAATCAAATTTGAAATTATATTTCGCAACTATATATCCGCAGCAAAGTAGAGTGACGCAGTGGAAGCGTGCTGGGCCCATAACCCAGAGGTCCGAGGATCATGAAATCCTCGCTCTGCTAATTATATCTGATATATTTTAAATTCTCTTTTACAAAATAGTGATACCGTGAATGCATTAAAATAACCCTTGGCCAGTATTGATATCCTGGCCTTCCAGACGAAAGCACATAGTTGTGAAAGCATTCCCATATGTAAGTAACATCAAGGTTGACTTACGCACTTTGCTTTATTTTCTTCACGGATGGTCAGTTAATTTGTCCAGATGTATAAGCGCACACCATCATCTACCTAATATTATATTATATGAGCATGTTCACATTTCCGAATTGAATTCCGTCGCCCTTTTAATGCTTAGACTTCAAGAGTTTTTTTAAAAAAAGGAATTATTTATTAGAAAACATAACTAGTGGATAAAAAATAAAAAATATTGGCTGATGACGCAGAAGGTTTCCTGTTGTAAACGGTTGGAAAATTTTAATGACAAAGAATATTTTTCCAAACAAGCACCATCCTATTCAACCAGGGCAATGGACTGAAACTGGCTTCTGTTTTTAATCGAACTTACCTCACTCAAGTATTTAAGGCCTGGGTCAGGAGATTAAATTGCCTTAACAAAATAAACAGCCATATCTCCATAAATATACAGCCGATTTCGCTGAAACTTTCAGGGACGATAGATTTCCATACGAACTTTGGTAAACAACAAAATTTACGCTACGGGTAAGTTTTCACTCCTCGGTTTATCAATTTCCACCTCATCCTACACTGACCAGAAAAGAAAATTTCCGAAACATACCAAAACATTTGTAATCTATAATTTAGTAAACGAAAAAATGCGCTTTCCTTGAATGAAACATTCGTTATTTGGATTTACACCTCAAGGCATTATGGAAGCTACGGCAAATTAGAGCTAATTTGCTGAATGAAACACAAAAATACCACTCACCTCAGCTGTAAACCTCACATCTGCACGAAAACAGCGTCTTCTAAAATAATTGCGGTAGATAAATCCATGTTCGCCTTCCCAAAAGCGTAAAGGCTCTCTGATCTAACCTCCGAACGCGCCATGCAGGAACAGCCGCCATTTTTTTAAGTCTTGAAACTCTGCTGGGGTCTCGAACCAAGATAAAACCCAGGCCTTAAACTACTTGCGGATCCCGTTGTTGAAGCCATTGTGAAAGACCTGCATAAATTTCTTCTCTGCTGAAACTTAAAACAGAACCAATTACCCACACAGAAACTCTATTTGAACCATCAGGTATCTGTAGCTGTCTTTTCAATGCTTGTAATGTTCAAAATCATGAAACTTCGATGCAGTGATCAAAATGAGACAAACAGGTCATGACATGATAAACATATAGATCAATATCCGAAGTCAAGGTTTAATGAGCAGAATTAAGTTTACTCTCGTTCACGAGGCACCCCCCCTCTCGCCCATCCAGGGTTTATAGAGAGAAAAAACAATTGTCTGTTAATGATAAAATATATTTGCACAGCAGTCGCTGCTTTCCTACGTAAATTCTTGAGCAAAACGCCCGGGAAACTGCTCGGTCTTGATCAATGAATAAATATGCTCATATTTTTGTTGAACTTTTTAATGCCCTCTGTGTTCTTTACTTAACGCTCAAAGTGTCTGAGTAATAATGCGAGGCAGTGGAGTGCTAAAAAAAAAAAGAATTTTAAAATTAAGTTTACTCGGAAGAAAAAGTCGGTTGGCTTTGCCAATTTACGTATCGTTTTCATGCTAGTGTTAAGAATTCTTGGGAGCAATTAGTCTGTTGTCAAATGCGGGGTAACGTGATATGTTTCCCACGGAACGAAACCTTTGTTTTCAATAGAGATTCAGTGAGGATCGAGCTGTTCTGGTAACTGCATAAAGATTAAATAAGCAGGAAAATTTGAAATTCCCGCGCCAAAATTTAATCCGGCAAATTGGAAAATATATTTTGCAACTACTTATCTGCAAAGCAGAGTGGCGCAGTGGAAGCGTGCTGGGCCCATAACCCAGAGGTCCGAGGATCAAAACCTTGCTCTGCTACATATATCTGATGTCTTTTACTTTTCTTTCACAAAATAGTGATACCGTGACTGCATTGACAGAACCCTTCTAGACGAAGGCACACAATTGTGAGGGGGCTTTTGTTTTGTTAAGGTTTAATTTGTTGTGTTTTGTTTGATAGCCCAAATGGATCACAAGTAGCCAGGGTCTAACATCATTTATCGTACTCTTGGACCTTAGTGCTGCTTTTGATACCACTGAACATTCCATTCTTCTGAATATTTTGCAACAAGATGTTGGAGTCGTCGGGACTGCTTTGAATTGGCTCGACTCATTTCTGTCCGGTCGCAAACAACGTATACTTGTTGGTGATAAGACTTCCGATGACTTTAATCTGGGGCCCATTTTATTCACTCTCTACGTCTCCCGCCTCTTCAACAGTGTTTCTCAGTACCTCCCTTCCGTCCATGGTTATGCTAATGACACCCAGATTTACCTTTCCTTCCGACCTTGCTCTATCCATTCCGAAATTGGCGCTGTCTCTGCGATTGAGAAGTGCATTGCTGATGTTCTTTCTTGGTTTATTGCTAATCGTTTAATGATCAACGACGCGAAAACTGACTTTTAATTATTGGCA